CAGCTGTCACGTTGGACTCCAGCAATAAAAGATATCATGGAGGTAATCACAAAATATTGTTATATTTGGTTAGTGTTTTTCAGTTCGTTGTATGTAGTTTTACTAATGAGAAAACAGACATTGGCCACAGTACTTCCTTCCAAAATCTTAGCCCTAAACACAAATAGGGAAATGCAGACAAATGTTTATATAGCTCAGCCACCCTTTCTTAATTGGTAGTCCGTTTAAAACAGCATTGATGTTGAATTTATGGTTGTGTGTAATGGAAACTAAATATGACATTTTTTTTCCCCCTGGGTTTGTGCAGGATGCTATTGAAGATAAGTTGGATAAAAAACAGTGGCCTTTTGTTTCTGAACCCTGTACTCAACCTGGAGTTTCCCAGAATGTGGTGAGGTGAGAAGACATATGAGCTCATTCTCTTCTTATCTCTTCTCCTCTGTGCTTTCACAGCTTTCTCATCCACAGCTTTAGTCTTTCACTTGAACATTACTATTCTATTTTTTGCTGTGCCAGTTTTTCTAACACAATTTTTGTTTTTTAGTGCTCGATTTGGTCACTGGCACAAAACACGCAGTGCTGCAGAGTATCGCTCTGGCCCACGGCTTCTGGTTTACATTCTGGGAGGAGTCACCATGTCTGAAATGAGATGTGCATATGAGCTAACCAAGGCAACTGACTCTAAATGGGAGGTTTTGATTGGTAAGTTATCAAATTATTGTCTTATTTTCCTCATCATTTTAGTTATTTTGAGTCTCGCAATACTATTTTTCTTCTAATTCTTCACTTTGCCTTTTTGTTTTTCTCCTTTTTTTTTTTTTCTTTTTTCTTTTTCTGCCATTTATTTAAATTATTCAATTATTTAAAAAAATAAATAAAAAAATTTGCCTCTTATTTAATTATCCATCCCTTACAGGATCTACTCACATCCTTACACCGACCATCTTCCTGAATGGTCTGAAAACTCTGGATCAGACTTTTACCAATGGTGAATAATGGGCTCCGTTCTGCTGCTTCCAGGATTCCCAATTTCTGACCTCACAGCTGTCGCTGGTAACACTCCATGAGACAGATGGTTCTTTTGCCAAAACTGCCAACTCCTGTATCCCTTGGCCTCTTACACCCCATGCACCACATAAACTCTCAACATGTGGAAGTTATGCTTGTCTGTTAAACCCACAAAGTGGACCAAGGATAGATAGAGATATATATATATATATATATATAGTGATCTATATATTTTTTTGTTTTTTCTTTAATCCTAGATGTCGTAAATTACTTTTCCTTTTTCTTTTACACCTTTAAGTTATGTTGTTTGACTTTTCTATAAAGCCAATTTCCTTGTGCTGCAAGTCAGTTAAATACAGGCAGGCAGTAGAGTTAATTCAATGAGCCACAAGTCGGATGTAGTTGACCCGAGGTGTCGTGTGTCTTGGAATAAAGCTTGCAAATTTGTTATGCGAGTCTGAGCTTGGCAGGTAACATGGGACTTGTTGCAGAGTAATCGGATATAGCTCATTGTAGTGGAATTTTGCTGCTGTCTCGGGTGTGCTGTGTTTCTCCTGAGTTAACTGCTTCCTATTGAAGTTTATTTTATTTTTTTCCCAGTTCATTTCATTAGGGTCATATTGAAATTGTAAATGCAATTCTAGAGTCTGCTGTACCTGCTGCAATTTATTTCTCAGGGAAATAAGCTTATTTTTAACTTTAAGAAAATTAAAATTAAATTTGTGGAAAAAAGACTACTAGCCATGATGTTTCCTTGTTTTCTGGCCATCTTTTGACCACTTTGTGCTTGATATGCCCAGTTCTATGATATGAACATAACTGATATTTCAATGGCACCCTCTGCAAACACATTGTATTAGTAAGTATGGTGTGTAAAGTCATAAGAGGAATAAAATCGACTTAAAGTAATGTATATAGCTAGATAATACATCTGTCTCACAACATTTGGATAAATGTTACCCTCGATGGGATGTGTGGTTATATTTTATTGATAGCAATTTATTTATGTTTTTGTTTTTTGCATAACTATTTAATTTTTTTTCCCCATACATATCTACACACATCCTTGTTATAGTATATGTGTATGTTTTAGGTGCCTTTGTTCTCTCATTTCCAGGAGTAGATTATGATTTAAGAATATGTACCTATCAATGTTATTCTAATCCCTGAATCAATGTTTTGTGATTTTGGTCAATACTGAATCAAAAAAAGAGAAATATTGTATACGTATGTAAGTTGGTAAATGGTAAATTCATTTTTAAACCAAGAATGTACCATAATTAAGACCAAAAAGTCAAGCTAAAATGATCTTCACTTTGGCAAATTTTCTGTGTGTGGGGAGGTTGTTTTTGTTTTATGTTGTTTTTCTGTATATTGTTATTTTGACATACATTTTAGCATTATATTATCAGCAGACTACAACTCAAATGTTTGCAGTAAATAGATTACATTGTTGGATCCCTGCGGAATTAGGCAAAAACGTATGATGCTGGGATCTGCGACCAGGTGAAAATTCTGTGCCTGCTTTACAAACACTCCTTATAGAACCACCTAAATTTTGTGTGAAATTTTAAACAAAGTTATGTTAACAATAATAATACTATTTACTAATAGTATAGCTTTATTATAAATTTGAATCCAAAATGTATTGCATAACATATTTTGTACAGTGCTTGAACTCTCTTTTGCTGTGTTCTACAGGAAAAGAATACATGTATTTGTGATTTGTATGCCTAATTAAAGTGCCATCTTACTACTCTAATTAAATTCAGCTGTTTTTTTTTTTATTCTCATCAAAAAGCTTTTCTTGGTTTCTTGGCATTCATTCTATCTTTGCTTTACGGAGGTTTGTAGAATATACACAATTATTCATTTTTGTGCCATTATAAAATGACAATTATGGGGTAGGCCTGACAGCCAAGATGGCCAGACGTGTTACAGCTCAGCTCTTTCAACACAGGGCTGAATTTAGGCATTTCTTGCTCAATTTATTGTGCACAAAACAGCTTTGACCAAGCAGCACCCTAATACTAAATGGAGATGGGGCACAAATATGGTTGTATCATGCCTTTACAGCACAAATTCATACAGTCTGGCTGCAAGGCCTAGCAAGACTGAAGGCCTGGGAGCTGGGGGAGGCGGCCGATGTCCTTATCCAGGATGCTCACTGACAAGCGACAATCCCAGGGACATCTGTCTCCACTGGGGGAAAACACCTCCCAGCAACTACAGAATCTCCCATACCCAGAGTCCGCACGACGAGCATAAGATGGCAGCTACACCACAGAATCTACATGCCAATGAGGGAGCAGACATCCAGACCTGGCGGGAATACTTCAAAGCCTTGTTTGATCAACTTTGCCGGGCGTTCTGGCAACGAAACTCATGAGTATCGCTGACCCATCGAGATGGCATGTCGGACCATGGATTCTGCACTGGGCTGGGGGCTTCCAACCAGCCTCCCAGATTCCCTGAGGGTTTCCCAACGCTCGGAGCACCAACGGGCCCATAACCCTGCCAAAAGGAAACAAAGGGTCCCTGGAAATGTGGCCTGGGCTCGGGAAGGTGGAAAGTCCTGGAGTAGCACACCCACTGCGGTCTGCAAGCAGGGAGCCTGGCTCTGTACACAGCTTCTTCTGAATGAGAGCGGCGCAAGCCTGCCAGGCAAGAAGTCTGACGGTCTTCACTGGCTTATCTGTGGCATTGGATGAATAATTATCTTGTAACGTCCTACTGTTCTACTGCAGGGATATTTGCTCTTCTCTCTAAGTTATCTCTGTGCGTTTTAATATCCAGTGGCTATAAAGAGGAGTTATCAATAATTACTGTTTAGCATGTTATACAATTTTTAGCTCATCGCCTTAGCCTGTTTAAGTTAGCAAACACTCCACTTTAAATACAGTAACATCAGTAGGCCTAGCATGTTACTCGCAGATACTTTATTCTACTTACACAATATGCTTAACCCCTTAAGGACACATGACATGTGTGACATGTCATAATTCCCTTTTATTCCAGAAGTTTGGTCCTTAAGGGGTTAATATACTCAGCAACAAGTACCCAGTGGCATTAACTAGTTAATGGTAGCATGTTATACCACAATCTAATTGCACTTATATACTTGCCGTATACCATGCTTTGTATTCTTTACTGATTTAGTTCTTGTGTTTTGATTGTTGGGAATGTGATAATTGCTAGTAAACATATATTTTTGTCTCTATCTAGGCATATTCAACTAGCCTGATTACTACATACAAAAAATGTGCATGATTTACCTTTATGTTCTCCAACACTAAAGTTTTGTAATCTGTATTTTGCTGTGTTTGACACCTGCTGTTGGGGCATGTCAAGCATGAATGTATCTCTCTCTGCACTGCAAAAAAATTTAATAAAATGACAATTACTGTGGCATCATTAAATGACCGTCTCTGGCCTATCTCATAGTAACACAAAAAAAAAAATAAATAATATATACTACACCAATCAGTAGAAGATAGATGTTCTAAAAACTGGAACAATCTAACAAAAGTACAATACATAGTACAGACTGTAAACATAAAAATTAAGCTCCTATATGGGATAAAACTCACAGAATGTAGAGCTGTCCCAGGCTCTATATATAATGCACTGGAGGGTGCCTGAACAGGCTAAAGTGGCATCCTGGATGGAGAGCAGCACAGGAATCAGATAAGGTGTAACAAAAATGTATTGGACATACTTTAAAAAAAAAAAAGAAAGGGGGGCGGGGGGAGAGAATTAAGCAGTGTTGCATATACAAATGGGTAAAAGGCATATCGCCTTAATGGACACCGCAAAGAAATAGAAAAGTCCCAAAGATCAATAAATTAATATGAATAAAACAGCAGACGCGTTTCAACTCAGGCTGGAGCCTGCTGATTGACGTAGTATATATATATTTTTTTTTGTTATTTATCTTTTAAAGTTTTGTGGGATACACTTACACCTATTACTTTTATTTCTTTTTGGTAGCACCTATACACCGTCCTACTTTTTTTTTCTATCTCACAGTAAGTTAACTGGCTTTTTAAAGACCCATATGGATTTAACCGTTTAATCTGTAAACATGACTGACCATCACTTGTACATTGTTAAATGATCATTAGAGCCAGGAGTACCCAAAAGGTAGATCCCCAGATGTTTTAAAATTACAGCTTCCATAAAGCTTTCCAGCACAAAAATTCTATGACCCAAGTTTGCAGTGAATTATGAGAGGTCGAGGTCATCTATGCTTGTGTAATCTCCTCTATACCAGTGATTCCCAACCCATTCCTCAAGACATACAACATTCCATGGTTTGTTTTGTCCCAATTCCAGCCCAATGAGGATGCCTACAAAACCTGACCACTGGTGTGCTGTGAGGAATGGGTTGGTGGCCTCTATGCTTGGATACAATGCAAACACTATTGTGATATTTATCACTTTTTCTTACAAAGCACATTGAGGAACATTAGGTATTCAATTTGCCAGGGACTGGCATCTATATCACTTTAAGTCAATTGTGCGGACTGGCACCTTTGGATTCTTAAGTGGAAATGGGGGGTAATAATTTCAGTGCTATTTGTTACATTAAAAGTCTTTAAATATTTTATAATATGATTTATGTTTATTAAATAAAGGAAATTAAAGCTTTCTCTATAAGTCACTTTTTGTTACTTTAAGTAGCTGAAGGCGGCATAAGGATGTGTGACATGTTAAGTGATTGAGATGTGATCAGACTTTGTTCATGGTATGTGATCTTAAAATAACAGAAATGTGTGTATCTATCTATCCATCTATCTTGCCAAAGGCCTGTATTTATGGGAGGAGTTTGTCCTATAAAAACTCTATCCCACACTCTTACCTTGGCCGTTCCGTTTTCAGGTCATGGTTCAGCACAGAACCATCTACTTCTGGTTCAAAGGTCATCAACAAAAACTGCCTAAACTCCAAACATGCTGGTCTTGACCTAGTGCGGCCTACGCAAGTATTAATTTTACCTCACCCTAGTAAACTACCACCTCACAAGAAGCTCATGGGGCACTGCCATTTGTTCGTTTATCAATTCAGTTATGGCGAATTTTACTACTAATGCAAATTCAGCCTATTTCAATCATTCATTGCGTCACAGTGATGCCTCTTTCTGCTTATGTATTTGTCCCTCACTAGGCCATATCGACTTTTATCCTATTCAATTCAATTTGTCACTCTACATCTGAATGTTTTCTTTGTCTGCCCTCGGGGTTTTCAGGTACTCATTGGGCCTTCATTGTTTAATAATTATGTGCCCAAATTTGGGCTTATACATTTGGTTAAGGAATAGAAGTATAAACTTGTATAAACATTCTCTGTACACATAAAACATAAAAATTCCTTATCCTCTTTATAGGGGAATATCCTCTAAAGATGTAAATATACAAAAGTATTCCTTTGGCACCTATGCGTAAGGTAGCCAATGGGAAGACTAAAACTCTAATAGCCACAAATGATAGTAATGGACAGAGAGACTTGGTAACAGCAACCAATGGGAGAGCACTAAAGGTCCAACTTGAAATACCTGAAAAGGGTCATGAGAAAGGAGAAATACAGTGTACATTGAAAACCAGGAATCCGCCAGACATGTGAGCCAAACGTGGGAGCGATCACAATACTTTGTGCCCCCTGTCCCTAAAAGAGGCCACCACGTCTGAGCAGATAGGAGGTAACCCAAAATGTGAACACAAAAATATTCCTTTGGGAATCCCTCTCTCTCACAACAAGACACTAGGCTCCATGACCAAACTCATGTTCTGGGATACTAAACTGGTTACGGTGTCATTGCGGGCCTTTCGGATGAGTAGCTACTACACATCAGTGAAGATTTGGACCCCTTCCTTCGGATTGGTTTGTGTACACATGGGGATCATTACTGGCATTCCTCCTTTGCTATGCGAATCATTCATCTCTAGGCTACTCTGCCTCCTACCTGGCTTGCCCGATAATGGCACCACCATCATCCTCAACCTCTTTGCCAGATCTGATCTGATCATGTGCTATATTGGAACTGTATCTCCATGTTCATCCCCTTGTTGTCAGAACAGTCACTTGCAATATGGACAGTCGCTGCCACCCATAGGTTCATTGCTATTTTTGGTGACCATTGGTTCGGGAATAATTGGCCTATTGAGGCTGTCACCTTGCCTGCCTTCAAAAAAATCTCTCTGCCCTGTTCGGAATCTTTCCCATTATGGTGGCTGCCCACACAAGGGGTGATCTTTGGTCCGGAAAGGCAGAAAATCCTATCCTGACAACTTGGCAGCATGCAAGATCATCACTAAAGGGCGCCACCCCTTTTTTGACCATTATGCGTTTGGTCTCAAAAAATGAACTGACTTGCTGCCACATTTCAGTTTCATTTAGTGCGTGAACACATCCTGGGTATTACCAACATCGCAGCTGACACTGCTCAGGTTCCATCCCTCTGCCAACAGGTGCCCAATCCAAAACGCCAGAATTTCTGGAGCTTGCCATGGTCTGACCAACTTCACGGCTCATGCTCGGTCATTGTCCCGAGCCGCTTTATCTTCAAACACTGACAGCAGTATTCCATAGGTTTGCCATGGAGCTCCATGTACAAGAGAACTGCTCCATTGTGACCATAGTGGCCTTTGTCTCCTTTTGCCATTTTCATTGTAAACTAGCCCATATACCATCAAGCTTTACCTTACAGGGATTCGGCATCATATGCTCACCAACTATCCCTATCACACACCCCTATCTCACATCTTACCCTATCAAATCATCCTCAAATGCACCAATAAAACAGTTAGACCCCCATACCCCCCAACTACCAGTAGACAGCCCTATATTCAGAGCTCTCTCCAACCGCTGGATACTAACCCGTTCGAAAGTCATAACAACAACGTGATTAAGCAGCGATATACATAGCTTTCTTCGGATTCTTTAGGCCAGAGTATTCACAGTAGTACATCAGACAGAGGCTAACTTGAGTCTCAAGACCTCTGATATTATTAAGCACAACAACCACTATGTTCTTCCTTCAAACAAACAAACCAATCCAACCAAATTATCCACGATCCAGGGCCGAACTGGTGATACAAATCAGCCTGAGAGGACCAATATTTTGAATTAGAAAAATAAATATACCAATACTATGTAAGGCTATGTCTTGCCACCCCAGATGATTAAGTAATATATAAGCACGCACAATATGTGTGTGTGTGTGTGTGTGTGTGTATATATATATATATATATATATATATATATTATTATTATTATTATTATTATTATTATTATTATTATTATTATTATGTGTTTATATATTACTCAATCATCTTGGGTGGCAAGACATAGCCTTAAGTATTATTGGTATATTTCTTATTTCTGGTCTTTTCAGAGTAAAACGTTTAATTATACCGTAAGCATACCCACATGCAGACACAGATAATCTTGCTGACACAAGCTCATTGATGCACAGGCTCCCAGACAGACAATCTCATTGTTATACATACGCTCATGGACATAAAAAAAAAAGCTCACTGATGCACACAAATAGGCTCACTGACACACCCAGACAAGCTTATTGTACACAAACAAATTTAGTACAGAGAAACTCTGATACACCCAAGCTTATTACAGAGAAGCTCACTGTCTCACACACACGCTCACTGACACCCCACATGCTCACTACACACCAGCACACTGACACACACATGCTCACCACTGACAAGCTCACTGACACACGCATGCTTCTGACTCACATGCTCACTCACTAGCAGCCACACACACACAAGCTCACTCTCTCTCTCACACACACACACACACAAGCTCACTCACTAGCAGCCACCACACTAATTATCTCTGGTAACATGTTTTTCTCTCATTCTAGGTTGGCCTGCTTGGTGGGCCACTCGTATAGCCATTGGGCGCACGAGAGAGTTGCAGTTAGACAAGAAGGACAGCTGGACAGTATTGGTTTGGTTTTCAAGGTTTTAGTTGGAGGCGGTTTGTTTTGAAATTTTTAGGGAGTGATTTAGGGAAAGTGCCCCAGAGGGAGTTGGTGCAGGGTATGAAGCTGGATTTGGATAGGCTGAAGGGCTTGGTTCCAGGTTTAGTGATTGTCTGGTTGGAGATAGATCCCCTTTTTTCATTGGTGTAATGCTCGTAATCCTGTGGCAGTTGCTAGGTCCCGGGGGAAGGTTAACAAGCTGTTGGCTATTTTCGTTAGACAGTTGGGGGGAGTGGTGGATCGGCACAGTGAGTTGTAAAACATACTACCTGGCTATTTTAGGCACGTCGGGGTGCACCTCTCCGACATAGGGAATGATTTTCTTTATATGGGTTTTCAGGAGGGCCTACAGCGTGCTTTATTCTTGTGGGGGTGGTGCACTCGGGTGACTTGAGGAGTCAAGTCCTGAGCTGAGGCGGGGGCTGGATAAGAAATTGGGGGATAGGTTAGGATTGGTAGCTGGTATGTTTGAAGTGCGGTATCAATATTCACATGGTTGAATTTATTTTGTTGGTTGGGGCCCGTTGGTGGCTTTTCAATCGGGGGTAGGGGTATCTCAGTATACCCCTAAAATGTTAAAAATCATTTTGAATATGATGCCTGTTGTGGCTGTGTTTTATGTTATGTTGTTTATGTATTGTTATATGGTTATGTTATTATGTTATGGGTCATTGCTAAGGGGTATAGTAGTGGTAACTTTTGGGGTAACTGTGTTTACATGATATAAATATTGTGTTAGTTTGGCAATGATCCATTTTGTGTAATTTTATATATTTCATTATATATTAAAGCTGTGATATTTAATTCTACTTTAACTTTGGTGTCGGTGTCCCTTTTTTGGGCAGGGATGTATGGTTTATATCGTTAATTGACATATGCCAAAAAGACTACGCGCATGTCATATAGCCCATGGACCAGCAAAGCTAAGGGAGTCTGCCATGACAGAGCTAGGAGGCAGGCATAGAGAAGGGTGGTTGCTTAAGGGTTAAGCTAGTTGTATGGGGCGGAGCCTTTCACTGGAGTAATATAAGAGGAGCAGACATTTTAGTTTAGGGACCATTTTCATTATCCAGACTTACCTGTTGTTATCCCACCCACCCTCCCTGTAGTGTTTTAGGGTGAGGTATTTTTTCAATTTCCCCGTTTGGTCACGGCGGCAGAGACTGGATAAGAAATTAGGGGTGTAGGTAGGATTGGGAGCTGGTATGTTTGAAGTGTGGTAACAATATTCACATGGTTGAATTTATTTGGTAGGTTTCGGCCTGTTGGTGGCTTTTACACCTGGGGTGTAGGGGTATCTCGGTATACCCCCTCAATGTTAAAATCATTTTTAATATGATGCCTGTTGTGGCTGTGTTTTATGTTATGATATATAACGAAATATAAATACCATATGCCAAAAAGACGACTATGCGCATGTCAAGACTCTTTTTCCCATAATTAAATGAAACTGAATTTCTGATCACTCATGTTCACCATTAAAGCATTGTAGCAAATCAGCAGTGACTTAACCTTAAGATGAGAATGCCAGCTTCAATAAAAGACCAATGAAAGTGGGGGTATAACCTGCCCTTTTTGAGAACTAAACTCATAACCATCTACACATGCCCCTCATCTGTGTGGAGGCCTTACAGTCGTCATGCAAATGCCACATAGTCCCTAGGGAGTTCAGATTGCTTGCTTGGATAAGTTATAGCTCGCTCCTGTATGCGTTAGTATTGCTTGTAGTCTCTTAGGTAGAGTATACTGGATTATAATGTTATATCTAGCTCTCTCTCCAAAGCTGTAAAGGCACAAATATGTATTCACCATTTGATGAAGTTATTTTTTTTGGAAATGTTCACATAACGTGTGTCATAGAGTATTAGTCATGAGAATTTGGTGTCCATAGGCATTATTAATTTAGCCCACACAAGTTATCAGCCAAACTTAATTGGTGTATCTGTTCTCATGTCTGTTGTGTCAAAAGTTTAGCATGAATTTCAAGAAGGTGAATGACCTTGTGTCACATAGGAAATCCATGGAAAACTCGACCCTCTGTTCTGCTTGTTTAAAAATAATCCTTATGGATTAACACTAGCGGCTGACAACCATCTGCACGTTTTATGAATGCCAAATATTCTTCATACTCTAGGAATAAACAGATCCACATTCATATGTATTTGCATGTGTGGATTCATCCAATTATGACTACGTGAACAGATAGGAATTGACATTGAGTCAGAACTGATTTAACACTGAGAGCAAATTAATTTCACATACTACCAGGATGGATTCTCACAAACAATATGGTGATCTAGCAACCATGGAACAAGCAAGTAATTTGTCAATGATGGGGTTTTATATATATATATATATATATATATATATCCTATACAGTGTTTATTGGCACGTTTTTACATTTCCCTGTTTTCTGTTCAGTGAAAGTCAATGTCATGTTGTTAGCATGATAACATACGGTAGTAGGAATGAATAGTTTCCGCATATGTATGTACTTTCTCATAGGTACTCAGTAAAAAGTTTTAATTTAGATACATATATGCTATAATGTATTTTTATATTTCTATACAGGGGTTGCCTTCCAGTGATGGGATTGAGTAGCCAAGCAGCGATGGAGTACCTCGCAGTTATGAAACAAGGCCTTCCAGCTGAAGTGGTAGAGGTTAACACAGTAAAGAAGTTTAAGCATGCGTGGGATATGCATAAGGCTATCCTAACTATAAGATAAGGCCAGGGACTAATGAAAGTATTTTAAAAATTGGGCAGACTAGATGGGCCAAATGGTTCTTATCTGCCGTCACATTCTATGTCCCTATGTTTCTATGAACGGAGATTCTGAGCTATTCATATTTGCTCTCTTTTCTGATAAGGCACAGCTTTGGTGCTTCTAGCTATGGGAAATTGTCATATTTAAAGGACCACTATAGTGCCAGGAAAACAAACTTGTTTTCCTGGCACTATAGGGTCTTTGGGTAGGGGTTAAACGCTTACCTTTCTCCAGCGCCAGGCTCATTCAGTCAGCAAAAGCCACAAGCGCATTCAGTCAGTCCATAGGAAAGCATTTCTCAATGCTTTCCTATGGACACTGGCATCTTCTCGATGTGAAAATCACAGTGAGAAGCGCGGAAGTGCCTCTAGCGGCTGCATATGTGTGTGTGTATATATATATATATATATATATAATGTCTTTCAAATTCCCTGCACTCCAGGCTCCAAAATGTCTTTGCCGGGTGGCTGGTGCTAAAAGCTCAGGGCTCAATATCCAATAGTTGTGGTCAGGACAATAAAAGCCATAAGTATAATTGATACCTTCTCATACCAGTAGGAGTATGACTAATTCGGTTAAGGTGTGCCGAAACCGACGTATTGGTAGGTTTGTAAATAAAGTGGGCCCACCAAGGAAGGTAGTTTTAAGTGAAATAATAATTTTAAAAAAGGTGGAGTGGTGGGAGGGACTCAAAACGGAACGAATGCCTAGGAAGAGTCTAGTGCCGAGGGTGAGTATTTATATCAGCACTAGCCCCTCCCACAACTCCAGGCTCTGCCTTTACATTTGTGGTCAGGACAATAAAAGCCGTAAGTATAATTGATACCTTCTCATACCAGTAGGAGTATGACTAATTCGGTTGAGGTGTGCCGAAACCGACGTATTGGTAGACCTGTAAATAAAGTGGGCAAAAGATGTATGCCAAAAGATTTATTCAATCAACAATAACTTAGTACAACATAACATCATAATACCAAATGTTGGAAAGCTTGTCTGATTTCTTTCTCAGGTTGTGGTATGTACTTTTATTGTGGCCAGCCTAAGGCACACCTGTGCAATAATCATGCTGCCTAATCAGCATCTTGATATGCCACACCTGTGAGGTGAATGGATTATCTCGGCAAAGGAGAAGTGCTCACTAACACAGATTTAGACAGATTTGTGAACAATATTTGAGAGAAATAGGTCTTTTGTGTACATAGAAAAAGTCTTAGATCTTTGAGTTCAGCTCATGAAAAATGGGGGCAAAAACAAAAGTGTTGCATTTATAATTTTGTTCAGTGTATATATAAAATAGATTTTCTCACCCATCCTGGGTGATATGTTTATTCCTCATTCTCAGGTCCTCTACCAGAGGCCTGGGAGTGTGTGGGTTCTGCGCAGTATCTTAGTTGTTCCTAGAACTGCACTCTTCTAGACCGCGATCTCAGATGTCCCACCTGGAATAGGTTGAAGCCACTCCCCCAACTTGGGAGTCACAGGCAGGTCCAATCCATATTCTGTGCAGATGTTTTGGTACACAATCCCAGCAACTTGGTTGTGTCTTTCTGTGTATGCTGTTCCTGCTCACATCTTGCATCCGGCTACTAGGTGCTGGACTGTCTCAGAGGCCTCTTTGCACAGTCTGCACCTTGGGTCTTGCCTGGTGTGGTAGACTCCAGCTTCTATTGATCTGGTACTGAGTGCCTGTTCCTGTGCTGCTAGGATTAGTGCCTCAGTGCTGTCTTTCAGTCCTGCCTTTCCCATAGGGAGTAGTTTTCTGGTCTTGACATCCATGGTGACCAGTTCTTCTCTTGGCCAAGTTATTATTCCAGCTGGGTACCTGATGACATATAGGGCATATGTGTCGATGGCCTGGATCTTGTTCTTGCCATTAAGCTGGGACTTCAGGACCTATCTGACTCTTTGGAGCTACTTGGATGTTGCTATCCTCTTGGCCTCTTCCTCATGGTTGCTATTCGTTTGTGGTACCCACAGGTACTTGTAGCTGTTCTCTACATCTTCTATTTGGCCTTCTGGAACTTCAAATCCTTCTCTCCTGATCATCTTCCCTCTTTTTGCTATCATCTGCCTGCACTTCTCTAGTCCTCATGACATTCTGATGTCCTTGCTGTATATCCTAGTTAGGTGGATAAGTAAGTCAATGCCCCGCTCATTTCTTGGCATAAAGCTTGATGTCATCCATTTAGTGTAGGTGGCTGGTGGTAGCTCCACTCTTGAACCTGTATCCGTATCCACGCTTCGCGATGATCTGGCTACGGGGGTTGAGGCCTATGCAGAACAGCATTGGGGATAGCGCATCACCTTGGTAAATGCCACATTCGATGTTCATTTGAGTTATTGTCCTGGAATTGGCTTCTAGAGTTGTTTTCCACTTGCCCATCGAGTTCTTGATGAAGGCTCTTATTGTCTTGCTGACCTTGTAGAGAGCCAAGCATTCCAGTATCCATGTGTGTGGCATTCTGTCAAGGCTTTCTTGTAGTCAATCCAGGCCGTGCACAGATTGGTCTGTCGGGTCTTAGAATCCCTTGTGACTGCTTGGTCTAGTGTTTTAATACTCTGGTGTTATTTCCAATCTCCTTCTGAGTATTACTCATATATTGACTCATATGCCCTTGGATCTTGGAGGCTACGATGCCTGACAGGAGTTTCCATGTTGTGGGGAGGCAGGTTATTAGTCAGTAGTTGGATGGTGTTGTTCCCTTGTGAGGGTCCTTAATAACTAGTATTATTCTGCCTTGTGTTAGCCAGTCAGGGTGGGAGCCTGTTGCTAGTAGCTGGTTCATTTGTGCTGCTAGGCGTTCATGCAGCGCTGTTAACTTCTTTATCCAGTTGTGGATCATGTCAGATCCAGGGGCTGACCAACTCTTCATGTGGGCTGCTCTGTTGGATATCTTCGACTGTGATGGTGACTGGTTCCTGTTCTGGCAGCATGCAGTGGTCTGCTTTCAGGTCTAGTAGCCACTGAGCCTCGGTGTTATGAGATGCTTCTTTCTCCCAGATATTTTTCCAGTACTGTTCAGTCTCAGCTCTGTGTGGGTCTTGTGAGGAGATGTGGTGGTTACCCTGTAGCTGTGCATACACATTGGATGGTTCTTTGGTAAAGAGGGCATTGATTATCTTAGCCTCTGCTTCTCTGGTGAATCTGCTCAGTCTGGTAGGCAGTGCTGTCAGTCTTTGCTTAGCTTTTTCCAGTACCTCTGGTATGGGCATATCCTTGTACTTCCGCAGCAGCCAGGATCTATCGTTGATCTTTCCACCTCTGTTAAGTTGATCCAACTTACTAACTTCCTTCCGTGTTGTCTTTATCTTGGCTTCCAGTCATAGTCTCCATGGTGGGTATTGCTTCTCTTTGAGCCTGATCTTGTAGTCAAGTAGCTGGAGGACCCCTAATGCTGTGGCATATATGAGCCTGTTGGTCTCTGTGACCAACATTTTCAAGAGAAATCTAGTTTCACAACTGGAATAAATATATATATATATATATATATATATATATATATATATATATATAATGTGTGTGTAATTCTTTGTTAAACTCATTTGCAAATGCCCACTCAGAATCCTTTGCAGTAGTAACATCACTGCGAATTTGTGATTTCTGTGGGAAAAGCAAGTTTCATGGCTTGACTGGTGTGCAGATTTTTGTTTAACATTGTAATAACTATATATATAATCTCACACTCCTGGCTCTCTGTATTATGGTCTAGCAATCTTTATCAATAGGTTGAGAATGAAGATTTCAGCTGCGGAAATTCATGTTTAACATGTAATAAATATATATATATATTTATTACAGTTATTACAATGTTAAACAAAAATCTGCACACCAGTATATGCAAATGAGTTTAACAATGAATTACATTTTTGCCTCGTTCCATTTTAAACATTGATTCCATTGAGTCTGTGTTTGCTGTATACAACAACTTTGAAACACAACTTAGGAAAAGATGCAAAGCCAGTGAACCACTCATGGACAGCTGTTTCATTGTTAATGCAAATCATCAGCATGAGGATGGTTACTGGATGGCTATTGAGGCTTGGTAGTGCTTTGGAAGCAAAAACCAAAAAGGTTATGGTGGGGGGGAAAATTGTGATTTAAAACCCCTTTCATCTGAAGTCTGTGAATAGTTACTACAATATTAAACAAAAATCGGCACACGAGTCAAGCCATAAGACTTCATTTTCCCACAAAAATCACAAATTTGCAGTGATGTTACTACCACAAATGATTCTGGGTAGTAATGCTGGTGGAGTCAAACGTACTTGCAGGCTGAACCTAGTGAACATGAATGCGGGCCAAATTTTTTGCTGCAGATGGCCGAATGATGTGAAACTGATGTGTAATGAGCATTTAGTTTTGTAGCAGTATTTAGTCGGCTGTGTGAAGTTTCATGGAATGGAACCACAAGTTAAGGGTCAGTGATGAACCATATGATAATAAAGGGTGCCCTATGTTTATATAGGCCGGATAAACTCTTCCACAATTCTAGGCTCCACCTTAACATAATATATACATGATATACTGTGACATACTGTTGGGCTTAATACAATATGGCCCTATAGTATAACGCAATCCCCATATTTGTTTGCTAATAGTGATGTCCCGAATGGTTCGCCACGGACTCATCATTGAGTTAACTTTGACCCTGTACCTCACAGCAGACACATCCTCCCCCCCAGACCTTCCCACCTCCTGGACAGCTCACTAAGAATGCAACTTCACAATGAATGTAAAATGGATGCTGTCCAGGAGGTGGGAGGGTCTGGGAGGGACTGTGAGGTACAGAGTCAAAAGTTTACTAAATGAACCGTTCGGCGAACCGTTCGGGACATCACTATTTGCTAATATAGGTGATTTTAAGTAAAATGTAAAATGTAAAACTTTTTTTTTTGTGTGTGTGTGCACGCTGTTTCCCAATCTGGGGTCACATATGTCCGCCCAAATTGCAAGGTAGACCCTATGGTAATATGATTATCAAACGTAATTTCACATTTAAATCTAATCCTCTTAAAATATTACCATATTCTACATCTTAACGAGTTTCCAGATACAACTGCCAGATATTTCACATCAACTAATTACTGGAGCACAGCCAGAGCTAACGAGGAGAATGCAGAACTGGGAGCAGCTGCTGTCCTCAATACAGATGGAAGAGGATAAATTGCACAGGTGAAAGAAAGCATGATGTATAGGAGACCTGCTCCATGCCATGTACATTAGGGGCTGCCTATAGATCTCTGGTAAATAAATACATGTGGGATATTGCATTGGTTTCCACAGTGATTGCTCTACTTCTGGAACTTTGCACTAGAAATCACTTCATCAATTTCTATATAATCCCTAATGTTGCTAAAGTCCATAATCCAAAATATTATTTAATATTATGTAAATACAGTGCATGGTGAAAAACATATCTTTCATTTAAATTAGCTCCAGCTTAGTGCGTGGTCTCGAAGCTCAACAAGATGGCCACATGAGCTGCTAGCTCCTCATGGCGGAGACTACGATTGACAGCGATTTGACAAGCATCTAGAATCCGCTGTCATCTGCCGTACAGTGCCCCGTGCGCAAGCAACACCATGGCGCAGAGATCCACCAAAAAAATGAAGCAGAAAGTTCCAAACCTGCAAGTATCGGCCCTGGCATCCCCAGTGCACCCAAGATGGCGCAGAAAGGCCGCAACACCAACCTCGTACTCAGACAGGAGTGATAGCACTTGTATATCCTTACCTGCCTCTGCTCAAGTGACTGATTCATCAGTGCAGAAAATTTTCCAGGATCTGCAATCCTCCCTTCAAGCAGATATTACCAAACTGGCCAAAGACACCAGGACGAATATCCAGGCAATATGGGAAAGAACGGCCCACCTGGAAGACAAAACGGAGGAGCTCACAGAAGCACACAACTCCTTAGCCGACGCATACAATGAGCTCAGCCTCAAATTTCACAGCCTCTTGGACAAGATCACAGATTATGAAGATCGTGATAGATGCAGCAGTGTTCTCCTGCATGGCGTCCCATAGGACATACAACCACAAGACCTCTCCAGCTATGTTATTGAGCTTTTAAAGATCCTGATCCCAGAGTTACTGTCCCAAGACCTCCTTTTGGATCTACCTAGGCCCAAAGCTCTGTTTAGCCCGAGAGACGTGATCATAAAATTCCATTATTACACCTCGAAGGACAAGATCATGCAAGCCTTCGTGTCTGTTACCATCCCTTCCAGGCAAATTCTTGGCAGTGAAAATCTTTACCGACCTCTCTACTACCACTCTGCTAAAAAGGAAGGCCCTACCCCATCACCAGGCCTCTCAGAGAAGCAAACATTGTATAAATGTGGATTGTATAAATGTGGATTTCCAGCCCGCTTGCTAATCCAGCACAATGGAACGACCCGCCATGTTACCAACGCAGAAGATAGAAGCTACCTGCTACAAGAGTGGAAAATCCCAGTACAGATACCAGAAGGCCCAGAGAGGAAAAGGCCAACTCACCAGTCGCCCACAAAAGTGTCATCAGACTTGAACAATGTGGCTTTAGCTAAGTGACTCTTGTACAAACAACTATATTATGCCCACAAACTGACTTGTCCTTTGATATAGTTGTTTTTTGTTACATATGTTAGAAGTTACTTCCATACTTACCATCACTTAAACCTAGGTACAGCTCCAAGGCCCACTTACCACCATAGCCGAGTAGGTGCCACCTTTCCACCTCTCTAACAACCACAAAGCGGGATTAACACTGCGCAATGGGCATGCTCTCATAACCCCCATGCTACCAAGCAAGGTCTGCAATGAGGGGAACACCCACTCTTCCCGGCTCCCAAGAGCCATGTATATACCGTCAATACAGTGGAGTACTCTCTCCGATGGTCCCTTGCATATAGTTGGATTCTTTCTCCTTCTTTTTAGTTCCTACCCTCTTTTTTACCCCCCTTTTTCTTTATTATCCTCTAAACTGGTGCTCAGATCACATACACTTGCTGTAACACAAACCAGACCGCTCACAAAACCACGGTTGTTGTGCCAGCCACACGTTTTCAACACCTATGAATCTCCCAGAGACACTGAATCTTCAGAGGTCTGTGACATATACACACAAATGGGTACATATCTTGTTGGATATCCATGACATGCAAGTTGAGGCGTATTGGGAGGTCCCCAATGGACCAGGAGACAGAAGATAGCCCCACGATACTGTATCGGTAGTGGACCACGGGTAATCCAACTGGTTACATCCATTATTACTTTCCTTCAGCCACTCTGGAACCATCAGCACAAGTAAATACCCATTCCCCCAGTAACCAAACGAAACATAGTCCTGGGAGTCGAGCTGCACTGAACTGTTTAATGGGACATGGTACAGCCAATTTATCCACAGACCCCCCAGCAGGTGGTCTCCATACAATTACATAAAACATTTACCAATGAGCATACAGAAAAGAGATTCCTTACACTAGTTACCACCTCCCCCTGTGCCAATACACTATGACAACAAAAGGTTATCTTGGTTGGACCCGCTGTCCCTTCAAAGCAATCTCTGGTTACATCAACACAGCCTTTTGCTGTAGTAGATAGACTTGCTGGCTCCCACAGTAGGTGGTCACTCACAGTGCAGCATTTAACTTGATTAACACACAATACATTTCACACCTAACTATACTTTATAGTTTATAGAGTTGCTGCCCCCCTTAATTGACCCACAGCTGCATATACAGACACAAACAATGCTCTATGTAGAATACAGGTAGACAATACAGCGATAGCTAGATGTATGGAAACCCATCAGAAAAATGGCACTGCAAGCTTGTGGCTTGCGCCAAACAAATCAGGCCATCCATCACATATCTCCCCCATAGAAATGGACAGACTTGTTGTCCAGACCCACGACGGGCCTAGAACAAGTCTGTCGGACCCCTCTGAGTCCACAGTCCAAGTCCTTGGGGGTCCAATGTGATTGGACAAGTGGTTGGGCACATGTGGGCATGGTACTCAGTGACGGTGTTCCATCACAGTGACTTTGCCAATGACCTATGCATCAGGCTCTGGGGAGCATATTTACAGCACCTCCCAGGCTTGCACACCAAAACACATTCCTTTTAAGGTGCAAAATAAAAATCACCATAAACTACTTTATAAAAATTACAAAAAAGAAAAAAGTTCAATAGAAAAAAACAAAAGATGTTGGGTTAATAAACTAACATTAGATCTAGGTTTCCTAGCCTGTCTAGCTGCCCACTGCCACTTGGGCGTTGCAGCTGACAAGGTGGGGGTTTGCTGCCCTTGGGTGCTTACCACCTATTCCAACTTCCTCCAAACCCCTGATGCTAAGTGACCCAAAAGTCACAGCAATACTACTTAATTCACCTAACAAACGGAGGTTGTCCCTCAGTCAAGTGAGAAACCACAATGCCCACATACTGTTTTGTCACTTACTTACAATGGGTCCATAGACCAAAATTCAGTTCTAAATCTTTCCCACATGACTTCCATTCTTGCTATAAAACAAAGAAAAGGTGTGTGTCTATACTAATCAGTGGGGCTGTGTCCTTCACACTGGTTAAAAAGATGGGGGACAAAGCTGGTAGATGCTTACTGATTCAATGTTATGTGAATAATGAACCTTACACTTTTCTAAACATATACAGCCCACACGACACTCATACTGACTTCTTGGAAAAACATTTCGCCCCTGCCAACCTACACAAATTTGGTGACATTATCATTAAGGGTAACACTAACTTCATCATCGACAGTTCCGTGGACTCCTCTTCCTTTAACACAGTATCCGCAGCCACGACTTCTAAACTAAAAACTTCCACAGCCAAAATACGAGATACCATATTACAACACGGCTTCCTAGATGCCTGGAGAATCCTACACCCAACCTCACTGGACTATACATTTCACTCCATGGCCCATAACACATACACCAGAATACATAGGTTCCTATTGCCCTCTAATATGATGGCTAAAGTGCAAAAGGCAGAGATGGGGCTAATCTCATTGTCCGACCACGTCCCAATTGTCTTATCCTTAACAGATTTTTTGCCATGGGCAATAGAGCGGGAGCGCAGTTAGCTTCTCAATTGAAAGCACGCACAGATCGCACTAAAATAGCCTACCTAAAATCCAGATCAGGCGACAAAATCATGAACCCAGATGCCATCGCAGATACGTTTGCCACCTATTACAGTACTCTGTATAACCTGAAAGACGATCCCAACACACCAGCTCCGCAGATAGAGGCCATACAACAGTTCCTAGATGCAGTAGCACTACCCATGCTGCTTCCCGAGGAACTTGACCATCTCACAACACCTTTCAGCCAAGTGGAGATTGAGGGGCCATCAAAGCACTCCCAGCCCACAAATCTCTGGGTCCTGATGGCTACTCCAATCTTTACTACCAACATTTGCGTCTGCCCTCTCACCCCATCTAACAGATTTCTTCAACCGATGTTACCAAACTGGGGCACTTCCTACCGACATGTTAATGGCCCATATCTCTATGCTGCCCAAACCAGGAAAACCACCCACTGCCTGCCAGAACTTCCGCCCTATCTCACTCCTCAAACTAAATTATTAGCAAACCATCTAACTAACAATCTCTTGACTAATACACATGGATCAGTCTGGCTTTGTGCAAGGCAGACAAGGCTCTGACAACACCAGAAACATTTTGAACATCCTACACCACATACAGTCGTGCATGGCGAGGGCCTCCTACTAGCACTGGATGTGGAGAAGGTGTTTGACAGACTTAATTGTATCTACATGGAACAAGTGCTCCATACGTTTGGCTTTCCCAAACCATTCATTTCTGGAGTGCTGCCCCTATATAACTCGCCAAAAGCACAAGTAGCAAATGCAGGATTCCTCTCTGCCCCATTCTCCATAACAAATGGCTCTAGACAGGGCTGCCCACTATCCCCTCTGTTGTTTATCCTTTCCCTCAAACCCCTGGCATACAAGATCAGAGACCACCCTGACATTACAGGCATAAAAGTAGATAAGGGATTTTGCCTCTCCATGTTCGCTGATGACATTCTGCTTACACTCAGCAACCCAAGTTCCTCAATACCAGCGCTACTGATCCTTGTACGTGACTATCATCAAAAGCAATATCCGTTACCCAACTCTTTTATCTTCCAATACCTGCAGATGAAAAGCATTATCAAACCTGCAGCTAGTATATGACAGATGTAGGAAAAGCCCTAATCAACCCAAATACATGTCATTGTGTTACAAGGCTATGTCTGACTTGACCTCGCAAACCACATTCCCCTTCAGTGCGGGGTATGTTGGAGAAGGGGGACGAGTATTAACAGAGCAGGAGTGGATCTCCTCCTTAAATGCACTCAAAGGTCTCACACGTTGCTACTCGCACATAGAGGCACATAAGAAACTGGTTTACAGGTGGTACCTCACATCTAGCAAACTAAACAGAATATAACCTGCAGTGTCAGACATTTGCTGGTGATGCGGGAAAGCATCTGGTGGGATTGCCAAGATATTAGACCCAATGTGGGGCATGGAACATGACCTATTTATCAAGCTATCCATCGAACAAGTACCATTAGACGTGTATACGTGTTTATTTCTTGTCCTCCCACCTAAGTTACCTTAAGCCTCTAAACAAGTAGTGGCCTGGATTATATTGGCAGCCAGAAACCTAATTGCACTTGTGACAGACCGCCTGGTACCCGGACTGGGTGCCTCCGCCAATCATTGCTTCCTAGTACCTCTGTGCACTCCACCAGACACCATCAGCACTGTAGTCCCCACTTCCAGTGTTACAGCTTGGCTGGGGTCTCGCCATCCTCCCCCCACCCTGGACCCAAGACCACTATCCAGCTTCCAGTGGGAAGACCTCTCCTACTCCGGAGAGTGTAGCAGGCTGCTCTTACAAGAGCAAGTGATTATAACCCAGAGGAGTATAGTGATCTAGCAATCCCCAGAGCAGATATAGCTTTTCCCCACACACATGAGATGAGACTCTATTTTGAGGGTAGGCAGGAACTCATTTAATGGGAGCCACAACTGGCCTTATATGCAAGGGACACTCCCCCCTGGACCTGAGAGTAAACCACAATATAAACAATTACACAACCACATTGGCTCTCAGATCCAGGACACTCCCATACATAATCAGATAATCCCTCCTCTGTACCCGGGAGATAATTGAGTCATGGACTGCACTAACTCCATTATCTCCAGGCAGAAAAAAACACATTTTTATAAAACCTCCCAAATACCTTTAAAACATACAAAACCTCTCACAAAAGTTACATCCCCTGATTGCCCTGATCTGGGTGACCAACATATCCAAAAATCACCCAGATCAGTTCAGGGGTTCAGGAATTTCATTTATTTGACCGACCGCACACATTGTCCCATGCCTAAAACTGTTCCATAGAATCAGGGTTTGCGGTTGGTCTAGTTCAGTAGTTTGAAAAACGAACAAACTACCGAACATAGTCAATGTTCTTACCCTGGAGCTTGTTCCCCTCATTCAGACGAACGATTTTACAGAACAGTGCCCTTCTAAAGTGTATAGAGCCAAATGCAGGCAATGATGGAAGCCCAGTGGTTTTTTGGGAGTTTCTGTGTCCGATTTTAGTTCCATGAGATTCATACCCAAACAAGATGGCTGCCACCTTGTGGTTATTCATAGAAATTGCAGCCACCCAGACAAACAATTAGAACACTGCAGTAAGAACCATTCCAAGGTGTTAACAAGCTCCCGGATGTTCCCTGGTTCATGCGGTAGTCGAACAGGACAATGTTAGAATAGGAGGGGAATGCAATCTACCGAACAGAATAGCAAAAAGGCAAGGTATTTTATGAGCCTTTTTGCATGGCCCATAGTCCTGAGGCTGGAAAACAGGCCCCTCCAAGAACCAGTTGCGAGGTTACTTTCGCCACAGCACTCCATTGGAAGCAATAAAAGTCCAGAATGCAACTCACAGACACAATAAATTCCACACTCATGAATGCATGTCGATAGAATCCCCTACCAGGGCTCAGCTGTTCCGAAATACCTGGAATTTATTGCCAGTAAAGCTAACAAACCATAAGTGGTTCTGTGCCCTTAAGTAGAACCAATTGTCTGCCATGCAGAATTGTCTCAATTCACACAGCAGCGGGGTCTCAGTTAGCAAGCACCAATCCCACTAAACAGGCACAACAATATTAAGGCGCACAGTGTTTCCGAAAAAGCAGGGCTCCCTGCATTACCCCTTCACAAACCGCAGGCACCCACGTGATTCAAATGTTACATGAGATATGAACCAGTCCCCTTCACCCTTCCCTGCTTTCTCTTCTGTACTCTCACCTGTCCCTGCAAGCTGAATATGTACAGCGATATGTTTATATTGTACAAATGACTCTGCCAGTTGTATTGCAGGACCTGTATCCCCCCCTTCCCCTTTATTTTCTGTACCCCAAGATTCTGTTTGACCGCATTAAATTCAAATAAAAAGTGACTTTAAAAATTAGCTCCAGCTTTCCTGCACTAACAAGTATAAATCTGATAACCTTTTTACCATACTCAGGTGAGATAACTTTGGCAATTCAGGGCTTTGGCAATTCGGTTCGGCACTTCAGAAATTCAGCACTTCTGCAATTCGAACATCAGACATTTGTAAGCCTCCAAATTGCACGAAATTGTCTAGTGATTTGTTACATAACATTTAGAGTTCATGCAACACAATGTGGGATGACATCAACATGTATGTGTGCTTATTATGCACTACAGGTTAAAATGTGGGCATTGATCTGACTAGTGGGACAATTTGCACCCATGCTGTAGGTATTTTTGACTTAATGGGACACTAAGGTCAACAGAACCTCTACAGTCTAATCTAGTGGCTCTGGTGTCTATAGCCTGTCCCTAAAGGCTGAGCACTGTAAATGCTGCCTTTTTCACTCAGATGGCTTCAGATGATTCCTAGTCCAGTGCTGCACATCTCTGCATGGAGGTGCTGAATGTTCTCCATAGAGATGCAATAATTCAATACATTTCTATGAGGAGATGCTGATTGGCGTGATATGGCATTTTGCATTGGATTGGATGAGATTATCATGATTGATGATCTCAGCCATGGAGGTGGAGCCAGGTGGAGCCAAGCTTGGCCAGCCACAGTAATACCAGTGCGACAATGGAGTAAGGTAAGTAAAATTACCTTTTGTTTTAAGTTACTTATATGTCCTTTGTCACTTGGATGTACCCAGGGCCGGTCTTAGACCTTTAGGTGCCCAGTACAAGAAATCTTTACAGCGCCCCTGGCCACATCCATTTGTTTATAATAAATGCGCATTGCCCTATTACTTTGGAGAATATGCACTAAACAGTTATTGTAAAACAAATAATTACATTTATGTCCATTCTCAGTCTCTTTTAATTTGATCTATAATGTTCAATTCTCTTGTCAATATTAACACTTTTTTGATTTAATAACTAAAATCCTATGGATTTTTGTTAATATAAGCTTGTTTGAGCAGGGCCTTCAACATCCTCTTGTATGTACGTAGTGGGGAATCGCGATGCAGCCTAGCACAAATCTAAACCCATTTACCCCCCCCCAATAACGACAGACCACTTAGTATGGATGAACAGGCCACAGCATTTATTATTACAAACTAAATTACTGCATAACACATCCATAACTTTATTTATTAAATCTCTTCTTTCTGTAACCAAAACGTTAGACATAAATAAGCATGAATTAACATATATACATATATAACTCCACCCATAGTGTTATACAGTAACCCAACCATCCTTGCCAATAAACATACAGTGGTTCCTAATCACCACTTCCTCTCACCTCCACCCTCGTCATAAAAATCATATATTTCCAATGCCCGCCATCAGCCGACCTTATCCACGCTCGATGGGCACGACACCTCAGGCAACCTAATGTTGAAGCAGGGGGGGTTGAGACCTTAAAAAACTTGTTCATCTCATTCCATATACTTAAACGTAACCACTCAAACTCAATTGGCAAGGACATACCCCCGGCTAGCTGTGACGAAATATACCAATAGGGCAGGCGGGAGGGAAGCTGTTTGCTGGCCCGAATCCCAAGTGGCACTGAGGTAAGACCTCCCCCACACTAATTTACACAGAACATAATCCCACCCACAAACTCTTTTAAACCAATCCCATGCATCTATCCCCACACTCCTACATGTGCCCTTGTCCGCTTAGCTGCGCTATCTCCCCAGGGCCTATTCCAGTGCGCCCACCTTGTTGTGTTGCAAATACTTGTCTGTTAGTCCTATTATTCCAGAGCTCTGCGATATTTGCTGGCGCTTTACAAATAATAATAATAATAGTAATACTATTAAGGTATGTGAATGAATACTAATTTTTATTTATGTGTGTGTAGATTCAGAAAATGTGTGTGTGTGTGTTATTGTATACAGTGTTATTTACTAACCTGAGAATTGTTTGGAATTCAAATTGAATTGAAGGCCAAAGTAGCTGAACTGGAAAAATTCTCATTAAATGTAAAAATTAAAATTGGCCTTAAGTTTTAAATTTACTATGAATTCCTGACAAATCTCACTTTCGTAACTAACCCTGACAGTGTCACTATGTGTCATTACAAGTATTTTAATTTATTGGAATTATGTGCAAAAGCATGGACGTGTATGTTGTTTGAGTGCGTGCATGTAGGGCTTGTGTATGGTGTCATGGATGGTGAATGCTGTTGTGTAATTGAGTGTACCTATTTGTGTTTCTCCCTCATTTCTTTGTCTCACCTTTCCCGTCCCGTCCCCTCCCCTCCCCCTTTATGTTAGAACCCGCTTTAGGCCCTTTTAATTTCTATTAGAGCCTCTAAGGGGGTCCTAATAGGAATGGAATTGGGGCCCTTTACTGTCCATTAGAGAGTCTCTTTTCAAAAGATCACTGTCCAGGCCTTTTTAATCTTCATTAGAGGGGGGGGGTCACTCTAACAGACACCCTTGTTAATCTCCAATTGCGAGTTGTGGGGCTTGTTAGGTGGAAGTGTTGGGGTGGGGGGGGTTCTATTACAGAGACCCCCCTCTCCAGGCACATTCACAATCTGGTCCCCGCAGTCCACATAACCCCCTGCCCAGCCTGTTACTATAACTATAAAATAAAAATAAAAACAATACCAAAGAAAGGCTCCACTTACATTAATTAATAACATGGTAATGTGGCCAAATCCAATTTAAAATCTAGCATACAGAGAGGCTCCACTCTCCACACTGAGATGGGATCATTCCCTGCAAAGCAGCAGATGCAGCTGCACTCAGAGCACATCCTTCCATGCATGGTGCACTGTTTAAAAAACAGTGAAGGCGGTGCATGCCGACGTCAATGCGTGGTGAGGCGCACCTCCATGTTCCTCCTCTATATCAAACAATGCTGCTCGCCCACAAGTCACGAGCGCAACAGATTCAGAAGGAGTCGGACCAAACACTGTAACATGAAGGAACAGAACAAGTAGTGAACTAAATACAAATTGCTGTTTGTGGACTTGCATCATGTTTTATTCAATTCACAGTATGCCAGCAGTCAGTTACAGTCTACTTGTTGCAAGCTGTGTCTGCCGCCCCCGCGCCCCTGTTGTCATTGCGCCCTGTACAGCTGCACACTCCAAAGGCCAGCCCTGGATGTACTCCCTGTGTTTTTTCTTAAAACCCTATAAAATAAGCTTAAATGGGAACTATAGGAACCCAGTCTACTTCATCTCCTTGAAATGGTCTGGGTACAGTGCAGCTTTCTGTTTAAGCCTGCAATGTAAAACATTACAGTATCTGAGAAAGTGCAATAATTATATTGCAAGGTTAATCCACCTCTAGAGGGAGTGTGGGTGGACAAGGGAGGTTGTAAAAGGGAGGGTGAAAAAAAAGTACGATTGTTAGAGCATGTAGGAATATGGGGAGGGCTAGGAGGGCTTGTGAAGTGGAAATCAACCAATAAATTGATTATTTTGTGTATCTGCCCCTGGCCAAATTAAAGAAACAGTGTGTGCACGCTCCCTGAAGTAATTCACACCAGACACAAGTTTCAGGTTGATGAAAAACTTGAGGAATGTTTATTCAGAGGGGACGGCAAGCCCCTTTTAAAGCAGAATTACATCATATGCATTGTCAGAGATAACAGGAAATAATACATCATTAATTGGTTAGGTATTAAGTGACTCTTTTAATGCTCTGCCTACAGGGGGTGATGTCACTAGTATCATGAGGGTCTCCCCCAGATTCCTGTGCCATCTTGTTACATGAGGTAGTTAGTCGATGTTAGAGGGGAAGCTCCCTAGCGGCCATTTTAGTTAATCACATAAGAGTTGAATAATGCTGATTATAGTTATATGAGTAAATAGACATTTTACTAGCTAAAAATTGTTAATATATCATTTCCACAACAGTCCCCCCTTAAAATGGCTAAAATGGTTTGTCATTGGAGATGGCGAGAGCCTGTGCAGGTTTCAACGGGTACTGAGGCCTCCGTGGTGGGGCAGCTCCTGGTAAAAGGGTAACTACAACCGGTGGAACACGTAGGCGGCCTATGTCATCCGGGCCCGTAGACCAGAGTTTAGCAGGGATTCTGTCCAGAGCACTGGGGGCATCCATGACCCTTGTTTCCCCCGTGGGAGATGTGAGATGTAGCAATAGGGGTAGGGAACAGAGGACAGAAGTGTCTTTACGTGATAGGGGTGTGAGTAATTGAACCTGACCATCTGCAGTGAAAGTGATTGAGGCCTGAAGGCGGGACAGGACATCAGCACCCAAAAGGTTACTGGGGCAGGTGGAGGAGACAACAAATCATGAGAGGATATCAGAACCCACACGCAGGAGCTTAGTCAGTGGATTACTGCAGGGAGTACCATCAACACCTACACAGGATACAGCGGTGTCTGACAGGAAGGATGGGTCTGGCAGGTCTTGTTCTCTAAGAACACTGCGGGCTGCACCTGTGTCAACTAAGAAGGTAGTGGGATGTCCTTCAACAGGCAGGACAACTGTAGCGAGAGGCCCTCCCCCATCCCCTGTAGACACTGCCATGGCAGGGGTATCAGACACAGGCTTGCCGGTTACCTATTGTAACATAGGTGGAGCACCTTCGGTAACAGGGGATACCTGGAGATGCACTCCGGAGGTAGCCTGTCTCTGTGAGAATCTATTACCCTGAGGGCGGAGCGGCCCACGCTCTCCTGCATCATCATCCCCGGGAGCAACGGGGCCCTGATAGGAAGCAGCATCAAGGGAAGCGGGGGCTGGAGCAGCCGGAGGGTAGGGCCGGGAGACCAGTGACTACGATATGGGGGGTGCCCAACTGTGACGTAGTAGGATGGAAGTCTGAAACTGCTGGGGAGACACCCATAGCATAGGGTTGGCCCGAAGTGGCAAACTCATCAGAGCCAACCACCATGAGCGGTTAACTGGGACTTGCATCAGGGGTATACGGGACCAGGATCATGG